AAATGAAAATGCAACAAGATTGAAATCCAAAGAAATAGAGCGCAAAAACTTGGAGAATAAGGGTTACTTAAGAATGACAGGAAGAGGGAAGCGATCCAGAAATTCCTTAGCTGAAGCGTCGTTCTGAAGACCTGCAAACACAATGATATTCAGTTCAAAAGGTTGACAAAAATTGCAATACAAAGCGATTGTAAATGGTTACCACTAACCAGGGTAATTTGCGAAATCTGAAGCAGCTTGTAGTAGCTGAGTTGGGTCGTCCACCGAGAACTCCTCCATAGCTTAAAGCACAAGCAGTCGCAGTGAAGCACTCTCTGTGTGTCTCTGAGAAAGAGAGAAAGAAAGGAGAAAGAGAGGCACCGACCGTGGCAAGCAATGGACTTCATGGAACCTGAAATTTACACGTGTTCTACCGACTACGGATTGGGCCAAATTCATAGCCTTTGGGCCCAAATGTATTCATCTAATAATGGAGTGTTGGGCTCACGTTTTTAAGTTTTTTTTTTCTTTCTGCTAGAGCATGTTTATGCCTTTTTCAATATCATTAGCACAACAAGTACTTAAACGTGTCTTTTACACAACAGACATAGTAAATGTGTGTACATTTAAAATTTATTTGAATTTGTTTGTGCCCATTTTAATTTGGGCATGAGCTTTGTGTTCTTGTCACTTCAATATCAGTTAGAACAATTATTATAGTTTAAAAGCATGATTAATTGCGCTTTCCATAAGGCACGAAAGACTTTTTGTGCATTTAGGTTTTATATACTTTTAAAAATGATAATTTATTCAATTTATCAACTCCTCATTTTAGGAGAAAAAAAAACATCTTCTTCATTGAAAGACATTCCTCATCTGCTCTTGTACGGAGTCACCACTTTGGCTAGCACTTTACCCCTTACGGCCCGATCCGATGTGAGTGGGGATTAGTCTGGATTGTGGTTAAGGCTTAAATGTGCCATCCATAGTTGGGGCCCATCCAGGACCACCTCGTGGTTCAGACAAAAAAAAAAAAAAGACATTCCTCCTCCACCGTGGCATTGAAAGGTTTTATATATTTTTGCCTTCCTCATCTGTACTTCTCCCCCACCCATTGCTTTCCCCAAGACCATAACTCTATCTCTAGAAACTTAAAATGAGCCTTATTTATTCTCCTCCTTCGATTTTTCACTGATCCCTACCTTCTCCTATCTTCCCAATCCTTCCCACCATCCTCCCCAACCACAGCATCCAAACTGTGAAAAGCACTTGCAGCAACTAAATAACACGACCAAGAATAAGAAAATTTAGAGAGAACAATTAGACGGAGACCGATTTTGAGAATCCCATGAACAATTGTAAATTGAAAGAGGTGAAATATCTAAAATTTGAATCATTCTCTCTCTCTCTCTTGGGTGCTGCTATAAATTCTTATGGATTTTCGAATACTTTCTTTGTGAAATGAATGAAAATGAAAAGTTTGTGTTTTGTAGGACAAGCCTAACAAGTTTGGAGTTGTCCATTGTTCCAATTGTAAGACAAAGCAAATTTGCTTTGACTTTATTGAAAGATGTTGACTGTTTTAATTTGACTGAGCAAATTGTGTATCTGCATCATTTTCATTTATACCCAATTTTAAAATCTAATTGAGCTTATTGTGTTTGCATTACTTGAGAGAGAGAGAGAGAGAGAGAGAGAGAGAGAGAGAGAGAGAGAGAGAGAGAGAGAGAGAGAGAGAGAGAGAGAGAGAGAGAGAGAGAGAGAGAGAGAGAGAGAGAGAGAGAGAGAGAGAGAGAGAGAGAGAGAGAGAGAGAGAGAGAGAGAGAGAGAGAGAGAGAGAGAGAGAGAGAGAGAGAGAGAGAGAGAGAGAGAGAGAGAGAGAGAGAGAGAGAGAGAGAGAGAGAGAGAGAGAGAGAGAGAGAGAGAGAGAGAGAGAGAGAGAGAGAGAGAGAGAGAGAGAGAGAGAGAGAGAGAGAGAGAGAGAGAGAGAGAGAGAGAGAGAGAGAGAGAGAGAGAGAGAGAGAGAGAGAGAGAGAGAGAGAGAGAGAGAGAGAGAGAGAGAGAGAGAGAGAGAGAGAGAGAGAGAGAGAGAGAGAGAGAGAGAGAGAGAGAGAGAGAGAGAGAGAGAGAGAGAGAGAGAGAGAGAGAGAGAGAGAGAGAGAGAGAGAGAGAGATTGGAGGCTGTGGAGAAAGAGAATGAGGAAGTGACTGTGATGGAGGAAGAGAGAGAAAGGTGAAGTGTCGTTGATTTGGCTGGTGGAGGGATGCAAGAGATGGCAATGGTGTGTAGGTGGTGGAGAGAGTGGCGCGTTGGTTTTTGGCAACCCTAATATTTTCTTTTTAAAGTAAATGCATTGGGAACAAATGAATGGTTTGTATGCATGTACAAAAGTCAAATCAAAAGCATCGGTCAATGTTGTCAAATATATGCCATATCCATGCCCAAAAGTGTTGAGTTTAAGACATGAAAAAGTAAAATCGTGCCCTATAAACAATGGAAACTCCTATATAGGAAACTGACTATTTTAAAGTGGATGTATTGTGGCCATCAATAGAAAGCACGAATAATTGTGGATTTTGCATTAAAGAGCACAAATAATAATTGTGCTCAAAACCAGATACTCTAGTAGTGTAATTTATCAACAAATTTCATTTTCATACGTATACATCCTGCAATTTTATATCTAAATCCTCCCTCAATCTGTTAACCAAAAGTGCACCTTATACCCAAAAGAAAATAACACACAGTGAGTAAATTGTTGGGTTTTAAAATGAATCACCTCGTAAGAACACCAAGTCTCCTTCCAAAGTGCCAACTTCGCGTGGGGTTTGAATTTACAAACTTTCCATGTTATCCTATAATGCACGAGGGCAAATACCCTTATCTTTTATTGGGCTGGATTCGTCGTAATCATGACTATGAATCACACATAGGCAATGAAAAGACTCAAGGCAATGTCATTTGTAATGACTATAAAGGTCTTCTCCAATAGTTTGAACTCAAATTGTCATCCCTAGGGCTTCCTAACATTCCATATAGCTCCCCAAACACTTACCCTATTCTAGGATATAACTTGACCACTTGAGCTGAACTTGTTGATACATCACAATCAAGTCACGATGGAAAGGAATCTTCCTGTGATTTTTCCCCATCCCAAAACCCTAAGGCGCAGATCAACATAATCTCAATTATTTTGTACAATAAATCATACGCACGCGAGAAACCTGGATATATATGAACTAACACCACATTTCTCATTCATAAATTCCAAACCCCAGCTTTTGGTGTTTGGCTGTTTCTTGTTTGGTTGTTTTCTGTTTGGCTTCAAACCCATACTTCCCCATCAGAAAAATTCATTACAACAAAGTCTGAAAACTCAAACCAAACAGGGCACCCCGCGTGCTATGCCTATTTCCATGAACAAAACCCCAAATGGTCCCACGTACCCCCAGGCACCCTATTTCCAAATATGTCGCGGTACTCATTGCCTAGCCAAACATACACAACATCAAAACCCCAATTTCAACCTTAATGTACCAAAACTGCTGACCACATCCACCTTCATCATCACCGTTCATCATGGCCCTCCCCCAATGCCTGCCCTCCACCTGGCAGGAGATCAACTTCTGGCATGATTGCATTTGATACACTCAATATTTTTTGTTACATGTTTTTGTTTTTTCAAGCCTCTGAGTCTCTGAGGTTTCTGCTGCTGCACCTCTCTGCATTTTCTTCCACAACTTAAATAATGGCTCTAAGAAAACGAAACCCAAACCCAAATTTAGCCCCCATTGTCATGACAGCAATTCTGCAAAGCAGCTACCATACCCCCATTTAATATCTCTATTTTTTTTCTTTCTTTTATTTTCATGCAGAAAAAATAAATGAAAATGAAAAAGGATGTTTGGCAGCCGTCCTTACAGTGAGGAAAAATTAAATATGCTGGGTTGCATAATGTGTTTGGCTAGGGTTTTAGATGGTCCCTGACCTAAGCTATAAAGCTAAAAAGAACACAAATGTAACAGAGAGTACTAAATGTGTCCATTCTTCTAGAGCACCAACCAGTGTCCTCAAGTTCCCCTCAACCCTAGAGATAGAGGGTATGTTCCACTCGTGAAAGGTAGCTATCTATGTTCACCAAAATTCAACCAACCATTAATGAATTGTAAGGTTTGTGACAGCTCAGCCATATCCTGCAGAACCGATTGCTACACATAACAATAACATATAATATAACACATGGCAATTGGTTTATGTTCTTGATGTATGGTTGTGTTAACTGATGATCTTGTCGGTAAGGTGTTGAATACCAGGTTCTCCATATTATTTTTAAGCTTAAGATCTGCAATCTACACAAAAATGTATCATTTAGATAGTGTTTTTTCGAGTTCATTTCATATTTAGAGAGTTTGGTTTCTCTTTATGTGTCGTAAAAACCGACAATAACTCAAAGCGTCTAAAGTTAGAAAGACAAACACAACATGTCAATGTAAGTTAGAAAGACAGACAGAACATGTTATATGTCAATGTAATGACACAACATGTTATATGTCAATGTAATGATGGGAGTCACTCACGTGTGCATGGACGACTATAGCCCGTAATCCCTTATTCAGTACACGTTTACTTTGTCATCTACCAATTTGGCTAATGCAACGGAAAGCACTAAAAATCTGTACATCTGCTGTATATTAAATGGGGGCAAACCCGATGTGCAGAAACCAAATCCCAATCCACCGAGGTCCACATTGATCAGAAACATCAAACAGTATATAAATAATATGTCTAAAGTCGCTTTAAAGCATCAGAAAAAGCATATTGCATAACACCATTTAAAGCAAAGCAAACAACATTATTAGTATCAGAAAAAGCCACTGATATGATGATGATGATGATGATGATGCAGGTGCACCTGCAGGTGCATCAGATCATCAGACCACCAGCCGGTCACAACACTACTACCCCAATCAATTTACCATAAAAACAAATATATACCACCACTACCCTGCATTTCCCACAGTAAATAAGCAACTTACTAATTTTACCTTCCAATTAAGTTAAAAAAACATCATCACGGTACACCACAGAGTCATAGAGTCGTCAGCATAATCATACACAGTAAATAAAACAAATAGAAACTACTTGAAAACGTGCACTGAAATACCCAAACTGCCCCCTATTACTGATTGCTTTCACCGGTCATTTTCCACGAAGTCTAAACGACCCTCAAATTCAAAGGCATTCAGTCTTGTAGTACGTCCACATGCAATCCAGCTCCGTGGGGCCCACGGTCCTGGGCTCCTCCTGGTGAGGAGGTGGAGGCGGCCAGTTGCCGGCGGAGCTTAAGCCACCCAAGTCGATCGTGGAGCCGCCGCCACCGCCGGAACTGCCGACGTGGACAGGCTGATGACCCGACATTGGGGAGAAGAAAAAGGGCAGCTGGAGATTCTCCTGCAGAGACCTGAGGCTCGGGAAAGCCGAGACGCCGCCGAAGCTTGGCGGCGGCGGAGGCTGGGCGTGAGCCAAGTCGTAGCACGAGGAGGAGAGGTTGAAGCCACTGTTGGGGTTGGTGGAGAAACAGGACACGTGCTCCTTCGGGATTGGACTGTCGTAAGAGCAGCTGTCACGGTCGGTTAGGCCGGCGGTGTTCATATTTTGATATGGGGAAGAGTCGAGGAGCGGCGGGAGGGAGACGGAGGAGGGCGAGCTGGGTTCTGGATAGAGACTGATACTGCTGGTGGAGCCGTTGCTCATTCGGGTCTTCTTGGAGCCGGGTCCGTTTGTCGTCGACCCGCTGCTCTTCTGAAAAACCCGGGAAATGACCCACTCGTCCTGCACGTGTTCGAATCAATGCCAAACAGAGAACATTGTGAAACAAGTCAGCTTTTTAACGCAAATTATTAGTAATGCCAGTAGCAGATTAGCAGAAGATTTTATGTAGGATTTGATAAATAGGCAACAGAAGATGTACTTGATTTAATTTGTAATGTGGCAGACAAATAATGCATGCATTAATTCGAAATGTAGGTCTCAGAAGAAGCATTATCATAACCAAAGTGCAATGTGTTTCAGAGTATAAAGGAGAGGACGCATTTCTGTTATGCATGTGTTTGATGCTATGAAGGTACCATAGAAGAGATTAAATCTAACGGCCATTAGTAGATATTTCGTTATGAGATATAGTGTACCGACAACCTTCATCAACTACTTTACCTAACCCTAACTACAAATGATATTAATTAAAGATCTAAATCTTACATGTGGAAATGCACGTTGAGAGTAGCATGAGATCACTAAAGTTCCAAACTTTTTTAAAGAAAAACAGTAGATTAATCTATGTGCAAGAGAGAGAGAGAGAGAGAGAGAGAGAGAGAGAGAGAGAGAGAGAGGACCTTGGAGCTCCTGGAGAGATAGTGGTAGGCGAATTTGCCTTCAAGGCGGTACTCATGCATGACCCAGTTGCTTTTCTCACCCTTTGGAGCTCTGCCACGGTAGAAAACCAGGGTCTTCTTCATCCCAACAAGAGCACAAGTCTTAGAGCTGTAAATCTCTCTGTCTTTCCCAGTAGCTTTCCAGTACCCAGCTTCGGTAGCTCTGTTGGTTCTGAGCCCAGTTGGGTATTTCCGGTCGCGGAGGCTGAAAAAGTACCACTCTTTCTCCCCCATCTTTGCCTTATCTGCAAAAATTAATCAGAACGCAACATTCAGAAACCAATTAAGTAATTAATTGAAGTTACAGGAAGTATTGTAATGAACATGAGAATTATTTACCTGGGAGCTCCCATGGCTCACACTTGTTGAGGTCGACTTCAGCAATGGCTCGGCCAGTGAAGCTGCTGTCAAGGACCTTCTTGAGGAGATAGTAGGTGATGAGTTCCTCATCAGTTGGGTGGAAGCGAAATCCTGGTGGCAAATGGGTGTCACTGCCGTGATCAAAATGACCATTGAAGCTCATGATGTCCATGGAAACAAAACAAGCAAGAAGCTAGCTTGAAGTGAAAGAAGAAAGACCAAAGAACTGTTCTAGAGAAAACCCAGAAGAGAATTTCAGGTCCAACTGTTAAAGAGAGTGGCTGTTGAGGAATATTGATGTCGGTTTAAGAAAGAGTGAAGTGGGAGGGGGAAGAGTTTGTTTGTTTTGTAGATGCAAGGGTTGGGTTTGGGTTTGGGTTGAGCAATTGAGAAGGGGGGAGGAGGAAGAGTGTGAGATGGGCTTTTCATAGGGAGTTGATGAATCTGAGTGGCAGAGGGAAAAGGCGATATAATCTATCTCTCTCTATAGGGAGAGAGAAAGAGAGATATTGTGAGAGAGATTGAGAGAGAGAAAGTGATGTATGTGTCTGAGGGAGTGGGCTCTGCTGCTGCTAGGGTACTCTGTTTTGAGTATGCGTGCGTGCGTGAGAAAGTGTGCAGGTATTCCTCTGTCAGTGAAGAAAATGAAACGGAGGGAACAGAAAGTAGTTTTATGAGAGGGCCCTTTTGAGTTTTGAGAGAGAGAAACAAACAAGCGCAAAACTTCCATTTTTTTTCAATCTTTTCTTTTTTCAATCTTTTATTTTCACCATGTATCGATAAAGCTGTTGCATATCTCCCCTGTCAGCACAGTACATATAATAAATAATCCCATAGATACAGAGGTCATGGTAATTAAATACACACACCATCTATCTCTGTTAATTATTATATTATTTATCTACTCTTTTCTCTGCCAAATTTGAAGATCATAATCTCCAAGCATACGAAAAAAAACTACAGCATGCAAGGCTTCTGGCATTTCTGCAAACCCATTATCTGTATTCGCATTCACTTTTTTCTTCCTTTAATCTTTTGAAGTTTAGGTAAAGAACTGGAGCTTTGGAAGTAAGAGAGAGAGAGAGAGATTGGATTTTTGTACACACTGACTTTTAAAACTGTTTGAGAGTCCCCTTTACTGGTTGACACACATCACAATTTCATGCTAATTCAAGTACAACCACCGTTTGGCCCATAAGACAAAAATATTACACTCGGGAAGGGAAGTAGCTAAAAACCAAGGCTTGTAGATATATTAGATTTTTACCCTCTCAAAAAAGCTAGTAATTTCAACCCAAAAAAAGCTTACCACTTTATTATTACCCTTATAATTAATTTGATCATCACTGCACCAATCGTACTCAATTTCTGATACCAAGCTGATGGCAAAATTTTGCTGTCTGCAGCTGAAGCAGGATTCTATAACAATCGTTATTTTTAATTTTTTGTGATAGTAAAAGATAGGTTAAATTCGAGTGGGGTTACCGCTGTGGTTGTGTTTCTCCTGCTTGGTACTCAGGATTGAAACTCCAGAATTTCTTCTCTCCAAATGTAACCTCCAAAAATATAAAGATTAGGTTAAAAATCTCAAAAGGGTTGCAATGTAATCACACAAAGCTCTTGAGAGAGTCCTGACCTCATCTTTTATGCCATATTTACGATGAACGCTTTACAGTGTTAGGAAAAACAAATCTTACTGGAAGTGGAAATTGGACATTTTTTCCTATCAGAAAAGGGGGAAGGGGAAGAAAAGAAAGGTAAAAACTGGAAGGAAAAAAAAAAAAAAAGTGAAAAGGAGCAGGAGTGGTTGGTGAAGTTGATTTATTGATTTTACACCTAAAAAATAAATAAAAAAATGGGGTGGTTCAAAATTCAACAGACGAAATGATTAAATTAAGTATGCAATGGATCGACTCAGCAATCCCATCCATCCATCCATCCATTCCATCCATCACAATCAGAGATTTCAAAAAGAGAAGAGGGGTGGTGGTGGGGGGCGAGGTGGGAGAGAAGAGATTGATGCAATGGGATTTTGACACATCATGCTCGGATTTTGAGAAACAACCCCACCCTACACAGGCTTTACATCAAATCATCTCTTCAATCTGCATGCTTGGGTCTCTCAATTCACACGCACACATTTTTTTATTTATTTTTTGACATTGGAGAACGGACAATATTTCAATTTGCAGCTGCTTAGATTTGCTTCCATTTTGCATTTTTTTCTAGTTGTCAAGGCGCTTCATAACAGTAGGGTTAACAGAAAAAGGTGAAAAATATCCCCCACGATCTTCTCCTTCTTTTGGCATCCTCTGTGACTTTTTTGCTTTATGGCTTGGGATTCACGGCTTCTCTTCTGTTGCTCTTTCTTTCTTCTCCCCCCATTCGAAATGTCAAATGGACGGCCAAGCAGCAGATTGGCTCAGACGTTTTCTTCGGCCATTGTGACTATTACATCATGTTTGGGATTTGGGAACAAGTGAAATTTTTTATGGAAATTGACAAATTAGTGTATAATTTAATGCCACACGTTTCTTGAATTATGTTATGAACACCAATTGTGTCACCCTCACATTTATTTACTTTGTATCAACTTTTGCAGCTTTTGATAAGGGGCCGTAAACAAGCATGTCATGTCCTGAATGTTTGCTCTAATTCTTCGATCACATTTTTCCTCCTTTGGCTTGTGGGAATGTCTTACCAAGTTCTTGCTTGGTGGTTCTTTTAGGTATTAAATATGATGAAGGTAAATTAGGTTATATGATTTAGGCATATATTGTTGATGGATATAACTCTATTATATGGTATAAGGTAGTTGTATTTTATTAGATATAGTATATGGATATAGGGTTTGATAAGGTACTATGACTTGTAGGTACAATATATACTCATTAGGTATATTACTTGTGAATTATTCTACGTTAAGCAAATCCCTATCGTAAAATAATTTCAAACATGCTTTATACCAACCTCGGTGGAGGAAGTCTCGCCAACGCCAAACCACCATCTTGGAAAAACAACATGTCGGTTCTTTGAACAATGATTCGGTGTGACTCGATTTTGGTTAGACAAAATTAGGGAGACGGGAGAATAGTGGAAGCATTGGAAAGTGAAAATATGATTTAGGGTTTCTCACCCTAATTCTCTCTCTCTCTCTCATTAATTTTATTGGAGCATGAAACTCTTATATATATTGATTGTACAATTACAGCACAAGAAGGCTTGCCAATACAGTGGTGAGGTGTTTCTCTTAAATTATGCATTAGTTGTGAACTGAGCCGGCTAATTCGGTTCGATTTATAGTTTGAAATGCTCAACCCTACATATTAGGTAATGTTCAACAGATACAAAGCTTTTGGTATATTATACTTGTTTGGTATATTCTATATTGTATGCAAGATGATATGGAATTGTCTCAATCTTAATAATTAATAATTTCGGCTTTACATGTTCAAATTCACATGAACCTTTCTCAAGAAAAACCATCCTAAGAAAAGAAACCCTAGCCGTGACCCCTTTTGGGGTTCGGCCGCCTTCCTCTCTTCCCTTCCCCAATCTTGTCCTTCCCTCCCTTGCCCCTTTTATTTTGTGGTGTAGAAGCAGTTGTCGTGAAACGATGTCATCGTTGTGATAGTTGCCAGCGTTTGCCCTATATATACAAGGATTTAGCTCCAATTGTCAGCCTTCAACATGAGTTTGGAGCTACAATGATTGGAATAAGTTTGGTTGTGTTGGGTTAGGGTTTAGCCAGAATAGCGTTATAGCTCTCTTGAGGTCACTTGGGAGTAGGGACGAGCACAATTTTGGGTCAACTCGACTAAACTGCCCAACTTGATCATAGTGGGTTGGGTTGCCTTAAAAATGAGCGGGTCTTGGGTTCAAAAAATCATGAACTGTTATGTATGGATTAGGTTACAGGTTGGAACCAAAATTTAAAAATATGCTTAATTTTGAGTTAACCTGACCGAACTGCCCAACTCGATCACAAAACGTTTGGGTTGGGTTGGGTTAGCCTAATAATGAATAGGTCTTGGGTTCGAGAAATCATAAATCGCTATATATCGGGTTGGATTACGAATCGGGACTAAAATTGACCCAACCCAACCCATGCCCACCCCTACCCAGGAGGATGTGGAGAACTCTTTAGGAGTTTATTATCGTTTGTTAGTTTGATTTCTTTTTAGTTTTCGGCTTTCAATATGGACCTGGCATTTCGACTGTTGCGTGTTGGATTTGTATTGTACGTTTGAGCATGCGTGCTTTTGGTTGCTGAATCAAAATTTTTAAACAATTTGTGGGTTGTGCGTGATTCTCTCCATATCAATTCAACTTGTTGTTGCGTTTGGCCATCGGAGAAAATTTATTCATATTTGACACCATAAAGACTTTGTACTTGGTTTTGTTCTTCTTATTAATAAAATATTATCGCTCTTTATAATAATAAAAAATTGATCTTCGCATTTCTTTTTGAATATGTCCCTGATATTTGTTTTTTAGATTCATTTTCAACTTCATTAAGAGGTCGATTCATGCAAAAGACAATCTTAGGCCCATTTGGTTCACGGAACGGATTTGAAGCATGTCATTTCCCAAGGGATGGGAAATGGAAAAATCTTTTCTCACGTTTGATAAAGTCTGGAAAGTAACCGGGATATTTCACTTTGTTTCCTTTCCCATGTTTGTTTTGAGTAGGAATGGAAAACAAAGTTTATATAATTTTTCAATTATATAAATATTAAATCAAATAAAAAAAGAATGCATTTAATGATACATTGTAATTCTAAATTATTCACGGGGACAAAATGGTCATGAAAAATGTGCATTGAATGTTGACTTATTTTCCCAAACTTTCCCACGAGGAGGGAAAACAAAACTAAAGTTGAGAAGAGAGCTTCACTTTCCCCCATATTTTCCCATGTGCTAGACAATCATTTCCCATGCCCGAATTTAACAAACATGGGAAAGTAATTAATTTCTCATCCCCAAGCCTCCTTTCCCATGAACCAAACGAGATCTTAAGGTAATCAAATTTAATTCTCTATCATCTAATGACATTAAAAAAAAACATAAATTAGTCCAATATCAGCTCTTAAAAATGTGGAAGATACCAAATATCAAATATTAAAGTACAGGTGTATTTTGGGAACAAAAATACCTGTAAAAGATTAAACAGCAGCAAAATATGAGTTGTAATATTATGATGATGTGGATATTGCTATTCAATCAAATGGATGAAATCAATTTCACACCATTGTTAAATAATAGTTTAATCTTTTCGTGTGATTAAAATTCAGTTGCCAAAAGTCTTGGGATTAGGTTGTATATATTCCCTTCCAATTTAAAGGAAAAAAGAGAGAAAAAAAATGAAGGATAATAATGTCCATCCACGAACTATAGAAGAATTTATTTTTATATTTTGGATATAACACTCTTATGTTTTTCACATGAACACACCGAAAAGACCAAAACACCCCAACAAAAAAAAAGAAAAAAGAAAAAGAAAAAGGACATAGTTACAGAACCCCCGTTTGAATCCAACCACAACCAAAGACTTATATTTTGGGATTTGGTTTGGGAGCTTCAAAAAAAAAAGAGAAAATGATTTAGCCTCGTCTTGTAGTGGGGTTGGCATAAAAAACAAAGGAGCGTGGATCGAGAGCGATCACGTTTGAGCCTTGCGGATCGCGCGTGACGACAACGTGAAATCACCCCGCCGCCCTCCGCCAACGGCGCTTAGCGCTTTTAAATTTCTTCGCTCCATTTGGGTCTGTGGGTCCCGCTCGCCGGCCCCAGCAGCACTAGTGGTACTGTGGTGCGCACTGTACGCAACCATTTTCCCCCGAACCCCACCTCGCCCCGAAATGCCCTGATTACAATAATCGCGTGTGTCAGTCGTCTCGTCTCAATAATGCCACCCTATATTTCCTACGCCTCTGATTGCGACACGTCAACATCAGCTTGTGGGTCCACCGTACGTGTCCTCCCGTGGGGTTGGGTTCTTTCGTGGATTCCATTATTTATCATTGCTGATGGGTGTATTGTGTCTTCGGCCGCCTGATTTAAATGATATTGGTTTTGGGGACATGTCCAAAATTTAATTTTGTACCTTGCAAGTTGCAACACCGCACAGTTGCTTGCTTGTACAAACTTCTCAGGCTTAGGCATATCGTTAACAAAAATAAATTCATCAAGCATTAAAATTGTAAATTCATGTATTCTGATTGTCTTCTATCTAATTGTAGGAAATATTTATGCCAGGGTACCCCACAAATGGCTTTAACAACGAATGCGCAACACCACCTCAAGTAACAACCGTACTAGTGGTGAATTCATGAATTTTTCTTCTGTGCGGGATATTCGGTTGTCGGTGACTTCTATCTCGATCTCAGTTTCTTTGTTTTACGGATGCAATTGCATTCACGGATCACTATACGCATATAGGAAAGAAATTTCATTTTTTTATATGTTTTCCATAGTGAATGGTTTTTGGTTTCTGTATTTTGCATTTTGTTGACTACAAACAGTAAGATAAGTTTCAACTAACGCTCTATGAAATGGGAGATTCTTCTGGACCCAAAAAAGAAAAAAAAAAGGTAAAAACTTGGGATGAAAAGCCCCAAAGGGGAAGGGGAATTTAAACAAAATTTTGCATATCTTTTTAGATGGATTGTGACTCACATCAGTAGTCTTTTACAGAGTCCTTTTCGTTTTCCTTGAGTCCAAACAGGACTTTAAATGAAAAAAAAGCATCAGGATTTCCAATGAGAGTGGTATATCTATATGCAGGCGGTTTGAGGCACTTTTAAGGTTTGGGTTGAAAATCATTCCAATCTCTCTATGATTCTTAGCAAGAAAGTGATTGAAAATGCATGCATGATGCATTATTCCATCAATCTATCCTGCCCGCAAGTAATTCTACTTTGGGTCGCTTTCTATTGCAGGAAAAATACCATTTTGTCACATGAGGTTCCAAAATTGTCGTAACCCTAGTAGTGCTCGTGATCTTGCTTGCTCATATCATACACCAATATTTACTCTAATGTTTTTCTCTATTTTTTTTTAAATTTTATTCCCTTGGGAAACAAAGACTCACACCAAAATTATTTATATTTTGCAACTTTCATTTTTATGTACGGGCATGAGTGAATTGTTAACTTATGTCATAACTAGGGCTTTGATGTAACCTAACATGAATATTCTGGGTTTATAGGTTTGGAGTTTCAAGTTTGATTCATGATTCATGTTCTTATTCATTATGCTTATAAGTTAACATGCTTGTTTGAATGATTGATCACCATTAGAACTTGTTTGTTAACTATCTTGGTTTGAATTAAGAGTATTCACCATGCTTTAATTCGAATTGAACTATGAATAGGAAGAGTATGTATGGACATTCGACAACAGGGATTAGATACATGCTTGGTTGTTTAAATTGTTCGTCTATGCTTAATGGGTTTTTAATGCTTAATTTTAGGTTAGACAACAAATGATCAAATTAGGGAATTAGGAACACAAGGTTATGACCACACACCATGGCTTAATCATACTTTAGCTAGAATCAATCTTTGAATCTGAATTAGACTTGTTACTTGAATCTTTATAACCCAGAATTGAATTGTTATGGTGAATCGAATGCCCTAGTCTCCAAACCTGTGTTTTAACTTTCAAAACCACCCTTTGTTACTTTTGTTTACTTGCTTTCCGTTGCAATTTCAGTTTGTTCATTTCTTTCTATAATCACAAGCATTCTCACTTCAAAGTTCATTTTAATCTTGCTGCATTTGTTTTCAAACTCACTCTTGCTTTAAATTCTGTTTTAGATTTAACTTCCTAACTTCTTGAATTTGGTAATCTAAAGTACATAACTAATTTGAACTTCTCAGTCTTCGTGGGTACGACCTCGTACTTGTCTTGCTATACTACTAATTGCCCCGTACAATTGCGAGTTAACATATTATTAACAACACCTAGCTCATTACAATTTCAATCTTTTTTATTTATAAGCTTAGTCCATGCACGAAGCAGAATATTCAAATTCAAACTCAGAAATTATTGAGAGCAACAATAAAAAAATGACCAACAAAAAGCTAAAAATCAAACTGAAATCTGAAAGTAAAAATAGCAGAAACGTTGTTGGCTGCATTAAGCTCCCAACGATTAGCCACCATTTTTATAATCTGAAAGTTCCTGGTGCGGAGTGATGAGCTTGACTCGGCCAATAACATGCTCCTGACTCCTGAGGACATAAAAACAAACATCATCCAACAACATAAGGATCAATTAAACACTGAAACTGAGTAGAACCGATGGTTCCAATCAACACCCACATACAATTTTCACCAAAGATTTCATCTTTATGAAATTGGAAGTTGGGTTCGCTCTGCTGGTTCTTCTTCTGCAAGCAAATAACAAAGTTCATCAGTATTTAATTTTGCATAACTAAAAGATGGTATTTTTTTAGGGAGATGACACGCTAAAATGGCTTCGTCCAAAAAAAAACACGCTGGAGTGGCTTTCGCTAGAATAGAAACGAACACGTAGCTCAAAAAAGAGAGAGGCCTTACAAGGAACAGAGCAGAGCCCGCACCAGGAGCAGGCCAAGTCTAGCCCAATACATTAAAAGATACAAGGAACAGAGAAAACCCACGAAGGCATCAAGTCAAGGGGAGCTTCTATAATGAGGAGGTTGAGTGAGGAGCTTATTTGAGGAGGTGAAATCTCACCATCAACAACAAAAAACAAAGTACATTGGGGGGGGGGGGGTGCATTGGGGGGTCCACACCCCTTTTGATGGTGAGATGGGCCTCCTCAAATAAGCTCCTCACTCAACCTCCTCATTATAGAAGCTCCCCTTGACTTGATGCCTTCGTGGGTTTTCTCTGTTCCTTGTATCTTTTAATGTATTGGGCTAGACTTGGCCTGCTCCTGGTGCGGGCTCTGCTCTGTTCCTTGTAAGGCCTCTCTTTTTTTTGAGCTACGTGTTCGTTTCTATTCTAGCGAAAGCCACTCCAGCGTGTTTTTTTTTGGACGAAGCCATTTTAGCGTGTCATCTCCCTAAAAAAATACCATCTTTTAGTTATGCAAAATTAAATACTGATGAACTTTGTTATTTGCTTGCAGAAGAAGAACCAGCAGAGCGAACCCAACTTCCAATTTCATAAAGATGAAATCTTTGGTGAAAATTGTATGTGGGTGTTGATTGGAACCATCGGTTCTACTCAGTTTCAGTGTTTAATTGATCCTTATGTTGTTGGATGATGTTTGTTTTTATGTCCTCAGGAGTCAGGAGCATGTTATTGGCCGAGTCAAGCTCATCACTCCGCACCAGGAACTTTCAGATTATAAAAATGGTGGCTAATCGTTGGGAGCTTAATGCAGCCAACAACGTTTCTGCTATTTTTACTTTCAGATTTCAGTTTGATTTTTAGCTTTTTGTTGGTCATTTTTTTATTGTTGCTCTCAATAATTTCTGAGTTTGAATTTGAATATTCTGCTTCGTGCATGGACTAAGCTTATAAATAAAAAAGATTGAAATTGTAATGAGCTAGGTGTTGTTAATAATATGTTAACTCGCAATTGTACGGGGCAATTAGTAGTATAGCAAGACAAGTACGAGGTCGTACCCACGAAGACTGAGAAGTTCAAATTAGTTATGTACTTTAGATTACCAAATTCAAGAAGTTAGGAAGTTAAATCTAAAACAGAATTTAAAGCAAGAGTGAGTTTGAAAACAAATGCAGCAAGATTAAAATGAACTTTGAAGTGAGAATGCTTGTGATTATAGAAAGAAATGAACAAACTGAAATTGCAACGGAAAGCAAGTAAACAAAAGTAACAAAGGGTGGTTTTGAAAGTTAAAACACAGGTTTGGAGACTAGGGCATTCGATTCACCATAACAATTCAATTCTGGGTTATAAAGATTCAAGTAACAAGTCTAATTCAGATTCAAAGATTGATTCTAGCTAAAGTATGATTAAGCCATGGTGTGTGGTCATAACCTTGTGTTCCTAATTCCCTAATTTGATCATTTGTTGTCTAACCTAAAATTAAGCATTAAAAACCCATTAAGCATAGACGAACAATTTAAACAACCAAGCATGTATCTAATCCCTGTTGTCGAATGTCCATACATACTCTTCCTATTCATAGTTCAATTCGAATTAAAGCATGGTGAATACTCTTAATTCAAACCAAGATAGTTAACAAACAAGTTCTAATGGTGATCAATCATTCAAACAAGCATGTTAACTTATAAGCATAATGAATAAGAACATGAATCATGAATCAAACTTGAAACTCCAAACCTATAAACCCAGAATATTCATGTTAGGTTACATCAAAGCCCTAGTTATGGATTTAGCTACTCATAAAGGAAAAGAGACTTGAACAGAAATGAGAAAACATAATGAATACAATAAGAGTAGAAAAACCATTTTTCTGAAGTTCTTGTGGTGTCCAAGGCTTCTCCAAGTGCTGCTCCACTTCTAATGCTTCTCCAAGAGCTTCCCCACTTCTCGAAAGATGATGAAGGATATGGAGGTGATTTGGGATGAGTTTGACTGAGTGGTGATGGCTAAGGAAGATGAAATTCATAGGGAAATGGAAGAGAGGTTTGCTGGAGTTATTTTGGTGATTGTTGGAGTGTTTGGGATTTTGAGAGTGTTTGAGGATGGCTAGAGTGAATTGTGGGGTTGTGAATCCCAAGATTTGTTGTCTTGAATGTGGAATGGATGTGGTATTTACAGGGAGAGGGGAGTGATAAATCTGAATTCAATATGACTAATGCATACAACACTTGCATTATAAAAGATGAATTGGTTGACGCACTTCACTAATGCATACAACACTTGCATTATAAAACCTGAATTGGTTGATGTACTTCACCAATAGATCCCACCAGCAGCCCTAGCTCATCTTCATGTCACCATGAACAAGCTTCCAACCAGAAATGATAGCTCATACCTAGCTCACCATGACCAAGCATCCAACCAGCACATGCTGAGGTCAGCATAACCAGCAACTTCAAGGGCTTACAACTTAGGCTTCTCTTAATCAAATTAGGACTTTAAGCACTCGAAATTGAAGTTCAGAATGTCTTCTTTCCAGCCATATATCATTTGGGCCAATCCAAGGTCGGAGGAGGAAGTTAAGGCCAAAACAAATTGCTAACTCAGTTTGCTCGCTGACAAAATCCATCATGAGCATGGTTCTGTGTTTGCTAGGTGACGGACTCCAGATTTATCCAATGGGGCTGAATATTGGATATGTTATAGTACACACCAATTGGAACAACGTTCATGAAGAATGTGGCCTCATTAGAGCTATGTAGGTTGTTGAAACAAAGCTTGCAATATGACCTACGGAACTGGACTGGCAGGGGGCTGTAGCCAAAATGAGTTTGTCTTTAAGCTCTTCTTCTCTTCATCCAAATTAGGCCTTAACATGCATGAATTGCATGAATTATGCTCTCTTGCTCTTTTGGCCTACAAAACACACAAAGGGAGGCAAATAACTCAAAATTATAAGAAACTAAGCAAAAGAAGTAAGTAAATTGGGCATGTATATGTATGAAATTATGAGCTTAACACTAGGCAAGAGCATGCGCTATATTTTGACATTGTCTTTGAGTGAAAGTTTATGAGTGAGACACAGTTGCACAAAACTTATTATATTTTCTGTATCTGAGTTCACAGATGATCACTAAGGGGTAACGATTTAGACTTAGGGGTCGTTTGGTACGGCGGACTGTCATGGACTGGACTAAATCCTGGGACTATCTTGGATTGGCTTGGATTGGATTAAGCTGGATTAAGCATTGACCTACGTTTGGTGCTGCGTCGGACTAAGAAGCTGGATTGTAAAAATAGTGAAGACCTATGTTTGGTGTTATGTCGGACTACAAAATAAATATTGTAATATTTAAATTTAATTAAGGATTCTAATTTTTTTTTTTAAGGCTTTCTAATATCTTTTTTAGAATAATAATATATAAGCATTTTTCAAGTGTATTTTTGTTAATTTATGTTCTAAACAATAATAAAAATTCTATTTAAAAAAAAACTAGATAATAACATCATAATTGATATAAACAATTAATAAATAAAATTTAAGCTAAAATAATTAATTAACTATAAACTAATAAAATATTTGAGAGAACCACAAATATCTTCTCTTCTTCCTCTTCCCGTCACCTCACCACCTACAATCCTCCTCAAACCCATTTGCCTACCTCCCCAAACCACACAGCTTAGGCCATGCTTTCCACAAACACAACCATGCCTCTTTTCTTCCCTATCACCCCACTTTGCCCCTAATTAAGGCCATCAGATTCTTACCCACATTAACAAAACGAACAAGATGGGGATGATTATGATGATGATGGGGTCCTATTGGATTGCTCACAGTTGGAAGAGGCGATGAAAGAGGGAAACGCAATAGCCTATTAATTGGGGAAGAAACATTTCCAAAGGTTACAGACCCACCATTAATCTTCTTCTATTTTCAAGAATCCAAATTCTTCATCCCTTGATTTTTGTTTCCCAAAATATGTCACTCTTTGGTTTTTAATTTTTTCAAATGGAATTATTGGCTCTGTGGAAATCGGTTGTGCAAGGGATGTTGTGGTTGTGCAGGGGAGGTGGAGATGCCAAGGTTCTGGGTTATGCAGTGGGTTGGGTGGTGATAGGTGTTTAATTGGGTATGGTTTTTGGTATGATACGGTTTACAGAAAACAAAAATCCAGAAAATCTAGTTCCAAATGAAGAAGAAGGAGAAATTGGTGTAGTTCGGACTCGCCTGTTTTATTTAGCGAGTTCGCTATTTTGTGAACCACTTTTCGACTTCGCTATATTAGAGCAGCGAGTGAAGGGTTTTGATCACTGTTGTGCTATTTAGTCTCATTTAAGTTAGTCCCCTCTTTTACCGAACATGGGTTTCCAGTGTTATTTAAGCTAGTCCTATCCAATCCAATCCAAGGAGGTGTACCAAACAGCCCCTAAGATCAATCTTTGGACAATTTTAAATGACATTACGATGATGTATAATATAAAGATTACAAAGAAAGTGCCAATTCCCAAAATAATAGAGATACCTTCACACCAACACCAAGAATGGCCTTTTCGAAAAAGTCACAACAATTTTAATACTCATATAAAAGACATAAACGTTGAGTGTTGTGGTCCTGAAGCAGTCATACATAACATGGTTAAAGAGGAGAAAACAAAAAGAAAACAGTATACAGTGAAAGAAGCCTTTCTAAAGAAAATAGTTAAAACTTCATAAAGTATTTACAACATGAACACAACAATGCTGTCAACTATTAAATGTATACAATTGAAAGATAAATTCCAAAAGATTTTAATACAGTTTATCACAATTATGAACTTAGACTTATCGTGGAGACCGAAATGTTGTTGATGGAGACGAATTTTGTTGTAGAAGATGGGGTAAATTGTGAGGAATCGGTGGCCAACGTCGAGAGTGATGTTGGAGGAGCAAAATAGGTGGCCACCGGCATCTTGGATGGGAGAATGGGAAATGGAACTTCAAAGTTAAGCACTTGGATCGCTTGTTGTATTGAAGGTCTGAATTTATAATCCGGATGAGCACACCACAACCCAACAATGATCAAGCACTCCATTTGTTTCTCATCAAAATGTCCACAAAGTTTTGGATCGGCTGCTTGAATAAGTGTGCCTTCTCCATAAAGCTCCCACACCCACTCTACCATTTCGATTTGGCTACTTTCTAAACTGAGATCGATGGGTTTCCTCCCGCAAGCAATTTCCAAAGCAACAACTCCAAAGCTGTAGATATCGGATTCCTTGCTAGCCTTTCCTGTGGTAACGTATTCCAGAGCCATATAACCCCTGGTTCCAGCCACAATTGTTGTTTGTGACTGTTTTCCGTGGTCCACAAGTCGAGCTAACCCGAAATCCCCAAGTTTCACATTGAAATTTGAATCCAACATAACATTGCTGGACTTGATATCCCTGTGGAGCACACACTGTTCCCATTCTTCATGTAGATAAAATAACCCAGAGGCCAAACCTTGAGCAATACTGTATCTTATCTGCCAAGTTAACAAGCCTTTTTCTTTGAAAAGATGAGAATCTAAACTGCCATTGGGCATGAATTCATAGACAAGCATGAGTTCTTTTTTTTCATGGCACCAACCAATGAGTTGCACCAAATTCCGATGCCTTAGTCTACTAATGATCCTCACTTCTGATGCATACTCTTTCAATCCTTGTTTAGATCCGCTGGATATCCTCTTAACAGCAACATGTGAGTTTAAGTCTTTTATGAAGCCTTTATACACGCCTCCAAATCCTCCCTCTCCAAGCTTCTCTCCCTCCTCAAAATTTCTTGTTGCTCGAGCCAACT